AGGTTTGAGATGGAAAACCGATGACAGCAATTGCGGACTGCATGCTGGCTGTCTAAGTATTCATGAAAGCTAGCTTTTTGACTTGAATTGAGTCTGTGTGTCCAACTGTTGAACCATCAATCTGTTCATTGACAGTTGGAACAAAGTGTGTTTGAAGCTTTCATTGATGGTTGGAACACAACATGTTGCAAGCTGTGGGATCAAGCATGTGGATCACACAGAGGTTTGATCACTCATGCCGATCAAACTAGGGTCGGATTTTTCGGGTTTAGAATGCCTGAGTTGGGCAACCTCGGTCCTTGGCTACCAACCAGAGTTCTGTTTGATTTGAAGGGCGATTAATATTTTTGCGTTTCCTGAACTTTGGTTGAACTCTTGGGGGGTGATGATGATGACAGGGACACTCATTCAGGAAGGCTGGCCTGGACTATGAGCTGGAGCTCAAAAGCGAATTGGATCAACAGCTCCGTGAGATGACAACCTGCATCCACAGTCCAAAGATTGCTTTTGGTGATTCTGGGTTGCAATGCAGGAGTGTTGATTTGAGACTTGCTCCACTTCGAATCAACATCTCGACCTGAATAATTAAAACATTACATATTTGGTGGTATGGGACATGCCATCCGGAAAGAACACAATCAATAATCGGAGAATTGGTCAGGTCAAGTCAAACATTGAAGTTCAGCCCTGCCATTGCACTCCCATCAGCCCTGCTCAGGATGCCTTGAAGCGTGACATTTCCAGGATGCCCAAGGTGGATCTTTACGGCGCTGGGTTGCCCTGTCAACCGGTGAGCTCAGCTGGAAAGAGGAAAGGGCCGGCACCTGGACCGGATTGTTTATTTTGGTTTTTGGAGAACCTCGTTCATTGGATCACATGGTTTGATTTGTTTAGAGTATTGGTTGGGTGTCACCCTGTCCCATTAAAAAAACACCTGTAACAGGCTCAGTAGACAACCTTATTATGGGGATTGGCATCCATGGTTACAGGGAACGGATACACCCAAAGTACTAGTCAGTTGGATCCATCCCCAGTTGAGGAAGATCCCCGGGCAAAATGCTATGGAGCATGCTTTGATTACATCAAGATGAAGAAGCCAACAGCAGTACTCCTGGAGCAAGTGCCTGGGGTTGTCCGGAACAAGAAGCTGAGGAAATTGCTTTTCATCAAGTGGATGAACAAGTTTCTGGGTCCTTAATGGTTGCACTTTAACATAAACTGATGTTCATAACCCCAGCTTACATCCTTTTTGCAATCGTCAACGAACTGGCAATGGCAATAATTGTTGATTTCACTTAGGAAGTTGTTCCTTCATTCCTTGCAAGCGGCCCTGGGAATTCTTTTTCTTATTGATCAAAACAGGGTTCCCAGGGCCTCTTGACAAAATGGAGCTGGAATGGGTGCCACCATGAATGCTATCATCCCAGGCCGAAAGGTGTGAAAGACACCAATGGTTCCCAGTTCTATGAGATCGACTTCAAGATCCTGAATGCATGTTGGCATGGGCTTCCTCAGAGCCGCAAGCGCTTGTTTGCGGTGGCGCTCCGGAGGAAGAAGATTGAGAGAAGATTCAGGTGGCCTACTCCCTCGAGCAAGCAGAGATCTTTTCAGTCTGTGTTGCTTCCGATCAAAGGAGGTGGAAGAATCTTGGGTGCACCAGATCAAACCATTTGTCATACAATTTCAAAAACAAAGCTGGACCCTCAAGATCGTTTTCCTCCATCAACCAGTGGTTTGGGGTTCCACGTCAATCTGCAGTGGAATATGTATTTAATTTAATTCCAACGATATCCAAAGATCATTTCCTTTTTTTGAGGGTGTCATCCTTGGAAGTCATGATCATGGCACCATCATGGTAGAACTCTCTTCCCCAGGACCTTTGAGCCCACATTGCAAAAAGATGTTGAACAAGGGCTTGAAGCGGGCACGAGAGCTGGGAGGTGATCCCAAGAAGGAGATCTGGTTGATTGATGTTGGTGCTTCCAAAAAGGTTCCAGAATGTTCCGAAGCACCAGATCACGCCCACCCTCACGAAGACCAGGGCTGCCGGTGGAGGGTTTTGGCTGACAATGCTGAAGCAACGGCTGCTACCCAAGGATTCTTGGATTCCTGATCTTGGTAGTTTGTGCAAGGCTGTTGTTTTCCTATTTTGGTCTGACCCTATTATATTATTGTGTGGTCACCAAATTCAACCCTTGTGTTCCCAAATACAACGTGCTTTGATGGGTGTTACATCCCCAAGTATATCTTTAGATAAGTTGGATTGGCTTGGCCCTTAACGCTCATCTCCAGGAATGCCTACGACTTCAGGGTATTCCTGGTGATGTTGCAGATCTGGCGGTGGCGATGGGACTGTCCCCATCCAAAGTGATGGGGGCTGCAGGGAACGCTTGGCCGGTGCCAGTGGTGGCAAAGATCATCAAGCAGATTGCACTGGCTATGGATTGGTGAAAATGAATCTATAGGGCAGGGCGGAATGGAACCATCTTCTGTTCAAAGGCAAACGGAAGGGTAGTGCACAGAAAGGGTTTTGCAAAAACCTATTCTACTAACGTCATGGAAGGCGTGTGACCTTCATAGAACCCAAGGCTGTTCGTGGACAGTTCATGGAATTGTGGGCCAGTAGGAGAACTGACTGCAATGAAATCCCAGAAACCTTCGCAGGACTTCATGGAAGGTATTTTTGATGCACTAACTTCGTATATGTGATTTTTGCTGACCCCCTTTCTCCACACACCCTCCGTTTAGCCTTCATCTGTGATTGGAACCATCTTCCGTGATCTTCCATGGGGGTTCTTGGGTGTGATGTACCGGTATCCTTTGGTGGTATGGATTTGACACCCCAGAAGCTCTCTGAAGCCAGCCCTTTCCTGGTCCTTTAAAGCCAGATCCCATGGGGTTTTGGTTGGAGGGGTTCTGAACCATCACCTGGTCCTCCTCTTTGGGTGGGTTGGTGTGGTCTCCTCACCATTCCAGATGCTCACCGCTCACCTGCCTGCTCCCAGGTCCCTGCCTGGATGGTGGCAGCAGCAGCGGCGGTGGCTGCTGCTGCTGCTGCTGCTGGGGCTTGGCTTGGCAGTGGGCAGGGAGCAGGGATTTTAGATTTTTAGAAGGAAAATAGCTATACGTCCTTTTGATCTCTTAAATGCAAGTCAGCTTAGGGGGCCCTGGTATATATATATATAGGTACAGGTATACGGATACGGTATACTGAACCTCATAATATCCAACCTTTTTATGAGGTGCAGCGAAGAAGGCAGTAGGTCTGAAAACCAAACCCCTTACATAAAATCAACTTACAGTAAGTCCAAGTGAGCCGCTTTCGATCCAAACTCCGTAGGATTTCGCGCCGTAGCTGTCCAGAAACCACCACCAATGGTACTTCAAAACCTTGCTTGCCAGCCACAGCGTTCCAGTTGTCCAGCCCACGACCAAACATCGCCCACGTACCCAGCCTTGAACGTTCGAAACTGGACAACGGCGGCAAACCCGCAGCAGTTTGTGCAAAAAGCGCTTTCAAATAGAGCAAATCGACCAAAGTGTCCATTTCGGACTCCTCCTCTCCGGGTAAATCGGAGGTCCTTTCCTTCTCTTCTTTCACCTGAGCTTCCAGCTTCTGAAGCTTTCCCTCAATCTCGTCTAAGGCACCCTTAGGGCAGGCCCAACGAAAGCCCGTTTGCGTGTTCTTCAGCGAGATCCACCGCGGATCATCGGACTCCTCCTTCAGGCGACCCCGTAGGCGTTGCTCCAAACGCGAGAGCTCCTGGATCTGCACCACCTGGCCGTTGCGGAGCTCCGCCAAAACCTCGTTGCTGAGGTTCCGGGTTGAAGCGACCAAGACGGGAGCCTGGGAGGAGATGACATAGGGTCCACACTGCTCCTCCAGTTGAGGAAAGGATCGGAGGAGTTGCTCCGAGTCTTTGCCCAACTCTGATCGACTGGTCAAGCTTTCACTGAGAGCATCTTTGTCTCTTCCAGCATCTTTAAGAGCTGACTTGGAAACCTTCAATCGATGCCTCCGGGAATGCGCTTGGAGGAAAGCCGGCAGTCCGGGCGGTGCAAGCCATGCAAGACCACACAGGACCCACAGCAAAGGCCAGCAACGAGCCATGGCCGCGGTGGCCTCAGCGTGAACCTGTATGGGAGAGCTTATTAACAGCTTTGTCCAACCAAGAATTCTACCAGTCTTCCGTCTCTGAAACTCCAACTTCCTACCTAAGTCGTGCGTTCTTGGGCGCAGTTCGGTGATGTTCGGCGAACTCAATGGCCACCTCTGAGCAGACTGAGCAAACCGCTCTTCAGCCCGTGGTGTTTTGAGGTTGTTGACCTTGTTGTTTGTCCACAGTAAAGCAAATCCTGCGATGTTTTCCATGTCTCACATCTTCTCACTATAACATTTTCCATCCCCTGGAGCCGGAGAGGATGAAGCGCCCAAGGATGGATGACACCAAGGAGTACTGTTCGGTGTAAGTACTTTTGGGGGGGCCAAAAGGCCAAAAGTAGAATATTATCCTTGAATGAAACATACTTTGGGACCTCTGTAAAGTAGAGAACCAACGTTCACCCCCCATCCATTCGCACTGATGTTATACAGCGGAACATAATGTCTACTGTCTGGAATCACACAATTTGTATCACATGTGTATAGCGCTGCTTCATCACCCAACTCTGAAGTCTAAGTGAAATCTTGACACCAACAATAATCATATATTACTATATATACCTGTGGATTTCCATCCACCCAGGTCCGCCGTCCCTCCAGACCGGTGCCTTCAAGAAGCCCAGGGCTGTGCGTCCATCCAGGAGGAGGTACACCCGTTGGTCTCCCAAACAAATTCCAGACCTGGCATCGCAAGGACGACCGGAGTGTTCTTCGGACCGCGACCCGAACGGTCGGCGACAATGGTCTCCGCCTCTCCACGGCGTGGGAGAGAACACGACCCTGGACCGCCGGACGTAAGTGGTCTTTTCGGACTGATGGGTGAGGTGGAAGGCGTGGCGTAGATCGGCCGTTGCGTCGTATATTTCTTTGTTCAAGACATGCAACAGTCATGTGCTTCTGGTAGTGCAGGTGCTTCTGGTAGTTTTGATACTCACCCTGCCGATTCCTGCCCTATCAACCTCCACCTCTCACTCCTCCCTTGCCCAGGTCGGAAACCCCTCATTGGGCTCCCAGCGTCACAGGCTTGCGAAGGCCCTGGGCATTGGCAGAGCTCTTGCCCAGGTCCTGGGAATTCCGGAACAATTGGAACAAAAAGTTGTCCAACTTAGCAAATTTCACCACTTGCCGGGTGGGCAGTGACTGGAGCCCGAGCTTGTGCTCCGGTCTTTCTTTCGAACGTGGAGCGCGAACGGTAATCATTCGGATAAGGTTGCATGCAAGAAGTACAACGTGTTCTGTCAGAGTCAGTGTGGCAAACATCTTTTTCCTTCACAGGTGAACTCTGTATATGTATGTCCACATTGACTCCTCGAGTAGCGAAGAGAGTGCGCCACCCACATCTGCTTGTAGCGCTGCGTTGTCCACAATACTTACATACCTCAGTTGGCGGACTAGGCCAAGAGCCTCGAGAAGGACCACGTATGGGCCAAAAAGAGCTTGCTGGTCTTAGTATTGGTCAATCAACTTTGACCTATATATATGTTTGGTTGACTAAAGTTTTGTTCCTGAAAACGGCGCGAATTCAGAAATCCTTGCGTGCCCCTTCTTTGAACCAGCTATTTTGGGGACTGAACGCCTGGTACAGAACAAGTGTCCAGTGTCCCCAGTTCGATCGAATGGTTCCCTCGAAAACCGCTCCAAAAAGACAGGACCTGACCCACATGGCCCGAAAAAACTGGTGGCGCCGCGCTTTTCTTAAGACATCACACAGCTTTTCGTCCTGTATTTTTTAGGATTCTTTAGGCACCCAATGTTCAACCCTGGTGTTTTTTTGTTGCTTTTCCCTCCCGCATTGTCCGCAGAGTTCTGAGTTGCTCGTCGTCTGCACTGGGCTGCCCGGCGGCCCCTCCCCGTCTGTGGAGACCATGGTGGGTGGACTGGCCGAGGCCGTCGTGGAGACCATCGGAGTTCGGCCCAACTCGGAGTGCCACGAGAGGTACAGATCCTAACTCTGAACAAGCTGGCTCAAACCCATATTATGGAGAAACGTTGGGAAGTGGTGGGTGAGTCCGATCTTACCCCCCACGGCCAGTAGCATGAATGAGTTTCATTAGAAGACCCCAGACATGATCAATTTATAGTTAGGTTTATTGTATTCTCATCACTAAGGGAGGGGGTCCCCCACCCCCTCTCAATGAATCAACAAATCTTAATTAGATACCCCACCACATATATTGGGAATATTAATGTTGTACCATATTTAGGGTCCAATTACTCTTTATGAATACATGTAGAGATTAATTGGCGGGGCACCAGGTACATTGTCATTTCATTAATTGAGGGGGTGGTGTCTGTCAGAGAGTGACCCCTCCTTGCCGCCTCACACGACCAGCCAATTAATCTCAATGACTGTTTCATACTGTTTCTGCTATGAACGCAGGTTTTCTTTTAACACGGCTTCTGGTCTGTGTACCCCAGATCAATTAGGAAAAACATAATTCGGGGTAGGTTGTCCTGGCTTGCATGAGGTCAGCTTGCATTCAATTAATTTCCTGGATTATCATCGGCATCCAACTCTGGATTATTATGCTTGATCACTATTTTGGGCAAATTCTGAATATCAATTGAACAAACAAAATTGGTACTTCAGGGTCGGACCCCTGATTTATCTAGCTAGTGCAGCCAGTATGTGTTATTTATATCAATGATGTCTATATATGGTTGTGCAGTAATTAGTCCAACATCTGGTATGTTGATGTCTTTTGCTGCTAATTGGAACAGAATCATTCAATCGACCTTGCTGGCTCCAAACACAAAACCGTATTCGCCCAGAATTCTTAGCTGACCAACAGCGAAAATGGCGGAATTGGGCGAAAATGCCTGCACCCAACTAAATGTTCCTTTGCTTCTTCTCTAAACACCAAATGTCTCCAACCCCTGCGTCCGACAATGGCGCCCACCTGCGCACTCAAGACGTCAGAACTTGCCAGCCGTGCAGCAGGTCTCAATTTTGTTGTTTGACCTATATGTGTTCGACGGTGTCCGACGGTGTGATGGTGATGTAAGTCTTGCTTGCCAAGCCGAGCTGTTAACAGAGATCGTGATTACAGGCTGACAATTGTGCTTCTTGGGTCTCGGTGCAACACTCACGACTAATTGATTCTTAGGGAACAGTAGTCGAATGTATTGAATTTATGAGTACATACAGCTTGTTAGTGCTCTGATGCATACGCACACGCGTTTCTTTCAGCCAGAACTGACTTCGGGCCATGTACACCCTCACGCCCTTGGAAACTGCGACGTCAAATGGACCTTCCAGTGTCCCAGTGTCACCCCTTCGGGGAAAAAAAAGTGCTGACGCGACGGTTATCCAGTTATCCCGTGTTGTCAATGCTCCGCCCGCGTATGTCCTGGATCCTGTGGGTCGACTGATGTCTACAGAATGTCTAAAGGCCATGGCAAAGTCAACTGAATGCAGCTGACCCGAAAAACACATGATGGTGGTTTTCATTTGGAACATGTGTTTGGCAAGGTGGGAATGGCGCAAACATGCAAGAGTTCATGGAAATTGCTTTTGCCTGAGTACTCATCCTCCAATAAATATTCTGTTTTGGCGCACGTCACAACTTCTGAAGCGTCTGAAGCGGCTCTTCTTCAGAATCCGACGAGGAAAGTACTCTCTCTTCGATGGTACCTTCACAAAGCTGAAAGTAGATCTTTGGAGTGAGATATGAAGCAATCCCAGCAAATGCCATCAGAATAAATCCCGGGAGCACGTGACATTGCATGGCCAAACATTCCGCGTTTAAGTTCTGGTGAACCCAGTGGCATGCGGCGGCAATATTATCATGATACATCAGGAATTCCGTCAAGAGCCAGAACTCAAAGTTGGCCACCACCACTGCCAGGACAAAGACATCGAATGCAGCCCAAGCATCCAGGACATGACAAGCCTTCAGCAAACGCTTTTGCTGAGGCCGAGTCATAGGCCAAAGGAGCAAGGCCAGTAGGGTGCCCACGAGTGCCAGCGGGATGGCCACGGTAAAGGAAAAGAAAATGAACTGGACCGTTCGCAGGCCTGTTGAAGCTTCAAAGCCTGTGGTGAGGAAACTCCCCAGTGTGATCAAACTATATGAGAGTTCTTTCTGTTCCTCCTCGAGCAACAAATCAGCAATCACACCTGAGACTTGGTATTGGATGGTGCTTAGGAAACACGACACCAGCAAACTGAGTCCAGAGAAAAGGGTCAAAAGCAAGAGTTGCCATGATTGTCTGAGTGGAAGATCTTCGAAGAGCACATGAAGTTCTTCTTCCTGTAATTCCCGGCTGAGCGATCTGGGTAATGGCGCCACAGCTAAAGACCTCCGGTTGTAGACAGTTGCCACATGGCCCAAGACCAAGGAAAACACGCTGGCCACAACGAAGGTGAAAAAGGGAAGCATTGGAACTGGCATCACATTCACCTTGGATGTGTTTCAGGAGCTTCCCAATTCTGGTGGATTCGCACAAGGGGAACATGTGAACACCCAACATCACCTGAGAAGCTGCAAACCGAAAGCCAGCTTTTTTACTTTCGATTGTGCTTTCTCAGGCCACCCCCCCGAACCCCCGTTCTTACTCAGCTGGCGCAGGTATAGATACCCAGGGTAACTACAATTCAGTTACCAGGTATAGTACTTCAAGTTCCCTTTCCGTCAACCGCTCGAGTTATAACCTTTACACACGCACAGCAAACCACAGCTTTGAAGTCTCATTCTTGCATTGAACTTATACAGGTGTGTAAGAGGTAGAGCAACATAGCATTTATACGGACCCAGGGTAGCTACAATTCTGTTGCCAGGTATCCCACTTCAATTTCCCTACCCTGGGTCCGCTCGCTCGCGCGCCTTGCTGGCTCCCGGCTGCCCGTGATTTAGGCGCGCGCGCGCGCGGACCCAGGGCAGCTACAAGGCAGTTGCCAGGTATACTCAGGGTAGCTACAGTTCAGTTAGCACTGCAACCACCGAAGACAACTGCATTTCTTTCAATCACAAAAAGGCACCTCCAAAACCTTGCTTCCGTGCACCCCTACACACCACCTACTTTCGAGTGTACCTTCTCAGGCCACCCCCCCGAACCCCCCTTCTTACTCAGCTGGCGCCTTGCCACAATTCAGTTGCCAGGTATAGTACTTCCAGTTCACTTTCCGTCAACCGCTCGATAACCCCACATGCACAGCAAGCCACAGCTTTGAAGTCTCATTCGTCCTTTGAACCTACATGTGTGTAGCGGTATAGCAACATAGCATATATACGGACCCAAGGTAGCTACAATTCTGTTCCCAGGTATCGCGCGCATGAGACTTCAAAGCTGCGGATTGCTGTGCGTGTGTAAAGGTTATCGAGCGGTTGATGGAAAGGGAACTTGAAGTACTATACCCGGTAACTGCACTATAGCTACTCTGGGTATTTTTACCTGGCAAGGTGCCAAGGTGCCAACTACACCTTACCATTCAGATGATGCAAACGATGCAAATTGCATTTCTTGCATCACCACCCCTCAAAAATCACCTCCAACACAACCTCAAAAAACCTTCCATCCGTGCACCCTCCTCCCCCAGCAAGTGCCGAGTTTACGTGCACCTTTTGCGGGCCACCACCCCCAGACCCCCACTACTCGCTTCGTTCGCCAAGCACAACTCAGCTGGCGCCTTCTACGAAGGCTGGCTTTCCTAACAAACCAAACCAGGACACGGAAGCCTCCTCGCTCTTCCATTTGATGTCGAAGGCGCACAACGCCAAAATGGCCAGCCAGCTGTCCACTAAACTGTACTTGCCTCGCATCAAAGACCAAAACCCGAACACAGCGAAACAGGCGAAGCACGGCCAAGCGAAGGAGACCGGCCACATGGTCAACCACCCAGCGATGCGAGTCTGACAACGTGATGCAGTGAGCCTTCAAAAAGCCAAAGCTCCGAAAACATGCAACGCACAAAATGACACACGGAGACAAAGAAGGGTCTCTTCTGTTTGGGATAATAAAAATAAACACAACCTTCAATTCGTTCGGCCCCTCTCTACCCACACCAATTCCACGCCCAGTTGCCATACTCATCCAAAAACACCAGTAGCTGGGTCCTCTGGCTTCTCCTCAAGGACCTTGTGGGCGCCAGCCACGCCCAAAGCAACATGCCCAGCTTCACAAAAGGCCACACTCCGCTCAGCCCAATCACTAAGATGGCGATAAGCCAGGCTCCTCCTGTGGATGGTGGGAAATAATAGGAAATAGCTAGATCACAGGAGCCATAGATCTATCAAACCAAAGGCTATATAAACAATCACCAATTGAGAATAACGACTGGATGGTTGCCACTCTTGCTCACTGATCTGCCAGAAGTGGTCGGGAACCCTTTCGCCACCCCCTGGTCCTTTCAGGCTATCTCTGGAGAGTGTCAAGACTGAGAAAGAAAAGGCTGGGCCAATGGTGGTGGTTTCACCCTGCGCTTCAAAGACGATGTTCACCACAGTGCCCAAGCCAAGGTCCGAGAAAACAAAGAGGATCATTGTTGAGACAATGAAGAAGGGAAAGGCTTTCGACAAGCTCTGGGACACAGCTGGATGTCTGGCTAGGGATGGTGACTCCTGTGCATGTGACAGTTGTTGGGAGGATTCCTCTTCATCCTCCACTTTGCCAACGTCCCACCATGCAAAGGTCGACCAAAAAGGCGAAGCAGCCAAAAGACCCAGCAATGCCGTCAAGGAGGCCAGGAGCAAAAGCGCGAGGTTGACACGGCTCTCAGGACCAAAATACACTTCAGTCTGTTCACCTAGCATCTGAGACTCGTGGCGGTGTGGGATACCGCGAACGACTGGTTTCGACTAAGGGACAGTCGATTTAGACTGTGGCGCAAACGTTTTTGTCATTGCCTATGTGGGGGATACCGCGATCAAGTTTTTCTCCAAAGACATGAAATGTCACGTGTATATGCAATATACAATTGCAAACAGAATTAGTATCTTTCTACAAACATACATAACAGCCAAAGAAGCAATGACCTTTTGGCCTAAACCCTAAAGGAACAAACAAAAACATCCGTCCCAAAACTCCTCCGATGCTTTCGCTGTTCAGCTTAGGCTGGCTCACAGGGAGGTTGCACTTCCAAGACCTGTTTCACCACGGAGTTCATGGCATCGTGCAACATGGTGACCGAGGACTGGATGATGGCTTCGAAGGAAGGCACATAGCCATGCAAAATCACTCGCAAAAGAGTGGTGCACAGATCGGCCAGTCCAACATCTAAAGATCCTAATCCAGGTTGAACACAAATGGGAGGAGCATGATCGGATGTGTGTTTTCAGGTGAAGTCAGCGGATGTTTGCCGAATTCTGGCCATTCTGTTTTCAACTTTGAGCCCTTCCAGTCCAAAAACAACAGAAACTCGCTTGCACATGGTGAAGTGAGCTGCTTCACTCTATTTTTCAATATTCACTGGGCCTCTTGGCAGGACCCTGGCCGTGGGCGCCGTCATGTTCAGGATCTGCAAGCGCCGCAAGGCCACCGGCGCCTCGGAGCCCAACGCAGCTCCGCTGCGAGCGCAGGCCACCAAGCCTCGATCGATCGAGTCAGCTTGGAGACCTTGATGTCAAACAGGTTCAGTCTAAACGTGATGGATCCTTGATGTCAAACACCTTGTTGGATCCTATGATCGGGTTCTGGTATGAATGATTTATAATGATTTGCTGATCAAATTTGGTTGAATACATGACCTGGCGACCCTGCAACTCGCCACTCACTCACCCCCCAACAAAAAACAGCGCCAAGAAACAATCGAATTCCTGAAATTGATCCACCTGCATCTTGTCCACAGCTTCTTGCGAGACCATGGCCAAAATCTCAGCTCGTGCTGTTACACTGCCCAAGTGTAGTTGAACCTCCTTAGATGCCAATTGCGTCTTGTCTGATCAGTTGGTCTCTATATGTGTGTCCCAATGTCATGTTTCCCGATATCAGGACCCGAGGACGGGTGCGGGACCATGTGAGCACCAAACAATCTCTTCGCTGCTCGGGTCACACACTATTGTTTGATTGATTCAAAAAAACATTCGTACATGAGAGTTTAGTTGTCCCCACCTGTTCCATCCATACACCAAAGACTGCTCCACCCTAAAAACACAGTCACACACGACCTCCCGAAAACTTCTGGTTTGTAACATTGTAGAGGAACACAGTCTTTGAGTGTTCCATTCTCAGGGTCCATGTTAGTTTTCGGGAGTATAGCTGGTTAGAACCTGCCCCCCTGCAGCCCTCCGTGCAAAACCCACGGGCGAACTTTCGTTGGGCGGCGAAGGTTTCCAGGAGCGGCGTCGCTTGTTTCATCTTCGATGGGTCCTTAGGTTGCTGCAAAGCCGATCGCCTGTACTGTACCGGATGGAGTGAGAAAGTATCGTGATGTCGACACGGCCAAAGAGCACTCCGGCAGTATCAATGAACATCGGTTTTGGTTGAAAACCACAACAAAAGCATCAATGTAAGGGTCCAAGGGCCACCCGAGGAAGTACTTTGTGGGCTCAAAGCTGTTGACGTGTGAAGAGTAGGCCTCACCTTGAAGAAATCTTGGGATTTGCACAGAAGATTTGCACAATGAACCCATCAAGTGTGAGATCATCGTACAATAGACCATACACGTGTATTTTTTGACATCTTACAGGACCTATAGACCTATACATGAAGCTATCTACTTGGAGGTGAGGCTAGGAACAGCACGGCTAGGACCAGCACGGCTCACACCTATCCTATCACTGGAACTGCTCGTTGAGCTCGATCTCTTTGAGGCTATTAATTGGGCCTCAAATATAGCAAAAACATGTCCCCAAGTCTTATGCTTGAATTGCGTTGACACGGAATCAGGCCTTGAGGGTTTGGACAGGTGCGGGTACGTGACGGCATGCCGAACTGACGGTTTGGATGGTGTGGACTATGTACTTGGTTGCCGGTTTCTACTTGCTGAAGTTATAACTAAGTTATTGAAGTTACATAAGTTATAACTTAAGTTGCCGAAGTTACAGAAGTTATGTTGAAGGCAAGGAATGAGGATGATATTCCAACTTTATAACTTTAATTATATATTTTTGGTAAGTTACTTATAACCTCAAATAAGTTTTCAAGTGTTTATTTTTAAAACAAGTTCAACTGTTTTTGTGTTTGTTTAACTTACAAGAACAACATTTGTGTATATGTATATGTGCAGAACAAATGACAGAACGCTTGTTGTATGAATGTTTGCGGCCCAAACGAGCCGCATTAATGCTCCAGATACATCTTTAGATACATCTTCATAAATGCTGCCCATTTTTTTGGCCATGGAGTTTAGGGCTTAGGGATATATCGACGCAAAATAAAGCTCACCCGAACATTTTTGGAGCACCAGATAGCTCCACATATCTTGCAACCTAAAGTTCACCCGAAAAATATTGAGCACCAGTTCAGAAATCTTGGATGCTAAAGTTCACCCAGAAACTGTTTAACAACAGTTGGGCCAAAAAAATTGAAACCTAAAGCTCAGCCGCAAAATCTTGAGCACCAGTTAGGTCCAGAAAACTTGCAACCTACAACTCACCCGCAACATTTTGAACACCAGTTAGGTTCAGAAATCTTGCAACCTACAGCTCACCCAAAGAATTTGAGCACCATTTTGGTCCAGAAATCTTGCAACCTACAGCTTACCCCAAAATATTGAGCGCCAGTTAGGTCCAGAAATCTTGCAACCTAAAGCTCACCAGCAAAATGTTGAGCACCAGTTAGGTCCAGAAATCTTGCAACCTAAAGTTAACCCGAATTTTTTTTGGCACCAGTTAGTTCCAGAAATCTTGCAACCTGAAAGCTCACCCGAAAACAATTGAGAAGCAGGTAGGTCCAGAAATCTTGCAACCCACAGGGCATGCAAGGTCCACAAAGTGCTGCGCCTGCCACGAAATCTGCACTTCTGAATCTTCAAGGTCCACGAAGCAGCGCGCACGCCTGCCAAAAAACCTGCGCATCAAGATTCACATCACGTCATGCAGCCCTGCCAAGGCGATTCGCAGCAGAAACGCTTCCAAAAAACAACATCAAGATGCCAAAACAGCATTCGCCTGAGACTTCCTCCGATTTCTGAAAACGAGCCACAAGTCATGCACTGCACCTGCCACGAAATCAGAGCAGGTCGTCGACTTAAACCCGATCATCAGCGGAACCTGGATTCAACAAACCCACGCGTTGCACTTGATGTCTTCCAGGCACCCCATGGATACGCCAAGGGACGAGGGAGTAACAAAGCACAACAAAGCATTGTGGCTAAAAGCGCTTGAAAAAAATAATCGCGCCAAACCTGCTGTTGTGAGTGGCTTCTGGGCACACAAGACCAACATTTCATGGCAGTGGATCTGGAAGATTCGGATTTATAAGGCCAGCAAAGCGCTGCTCAAGAGGTATACTATGTGAGGTGGTGGAACCAAGTCCAGCCCCAGGTCTTCTCAAACAAATTGTCCAACCAATATGTCTATCCCCAAGAAGAGCTTTAAATCTAAGGCCTATGCTGAGGCTATACTTGGGACACTTTAGGACACTTTAGACGCCATAATGGAACAGAATGACATCGCAACCAATCCAATGTAGGGCAAGTCAATTGCTAATTAGTCAAATGGGAGGGAATGATAGGATGTTTCCGCATTATTTGTCACCCACCCTGGAACGGGTAGTGAACAACCAAAAATCAACCAAAAGTGTTTTTGCACAGGTATCAAAATTATCTATTGTTCATCCATTGCGGTGCTTAACCTCTTCTCAGGTTTTGTTTGATTCTTGGAACGATGACCTGAAAACATGGTTTAAAACCACTTCACACAAATCATCGAAATCATTGCTCCAAGTGACTTTTCCAGGGGTATAGCGCGCAAGGGAAAATGAAATATGTCAGTTGAGGGGGCGGGGTTAATGTGCCAACTTGGAGCCCTGAAAAAAATATTTCAGCTTAGTTTGCCTATTTACTGTTGTTCTCCTGCTACTACTGCGACGACGGCGACGACGACTACCACTAACACCACCAATGCTACTGTACCAATACTCCTACAGCTGCTATACTACAACCGCTACCCACTACCACTACCACTGCAACTACTGGTACTGCTGCTGCCACTCCTACTATTACTACTATACTCCTCCTCCTGCTTCCGCTGCCACTACCACCAACTACTATTGCTACTAACTTAATACTGACTAGAAATTGACAAATACCTACTACCTAAGGACCTGATACATAATGTGTAATACAAAATACCTATTAGCACTGCTACTGCTACTACTACTGCTGCTACTACTACCACGACGACTACTACTACTACTCCTACTACTACTACTCCTCCTCCTACTACTGCTACTACTACTACTCTTGCTGCTGCTGCTGCTGCTGCTGCTAGTAAAAATATTGGTGGGGTTGACTCGTTTCATCTCCCTCGGTTGTTTGCTGCTGGCCGGTTTACGATCCAAGGTATAACTACTATACTTCGAGTGATCCCCACCATGACATTTCAACCTGACAAAATTTCTGGCATGTATTGAAGGCATGTTTTTCGGCATTCTTTCTGGCGTACCTCCTTACAGTTTTTCCGGCATATTTTCTGACCTTCTTTCATCTGACATTCTTTCTGACATTATTTCCGGCATATCTTCTGATATTCTTTCTGGCATCTCTTCTGACATGAATTCTGCAATATCTTCGGACATTCTATCTGGCATATCTTCTGACATTATTTCTGGCGTCTCTTCCGACATTGATCCTGGCATGGAAATCTGGCAGATCTTCTGAGATTCTTTCTGGCAAGTCTTCTGACATTTTTTGGCATATCTTCTGACATTCTCTCTGGCGTATCTTCTGACATTTTGGCGTTCTATCTGGCATATCTTCTGACAGTCTTTGTGGCATTTCTTTTGACATCTCTTCTGACATTCTATCTGGCATATCTTCTGACATTCTGTCTGACATTCTTTCTGGCGTTCTATGTGTCATATCTTCTGACTCGCGGTTGAGGTCCGGCGGGGAACACTGCCATCCGGAGCTGGCGGTTGAGGTTCCGGGGAACACTGCCATCGGGAGCTGGCGGTTAAAGTCTGGAGGGCGAACGCTGCCATCGGCGGAGGAGGAGAAGGAGCAAGGCAGCTGACATACAATCTAACAACCCTCACCTGACAGGTGGGGAAAAAATGCATGTTGAACGTCTTTTCTCGCATTGTTTGTTACATTTCGTTGAGCCGTCCCTTCCAATATCCTGCCAAGACTCCACCGAGCGGACCTGCGCCTGCAGCCGCACCGCGAAGCTCAGGTTTGCAAAGGCGGCAGCGCCGGTGATATGTTGGCCTTCCACCGTTCAGCGGTTTTCTGTGATGGGTTTGAAGGAAAGGGGGCGGATGTGAACGGAATTTGACACATGTGGCGTGGTCTAGAATAGATATAGGACACGTAGGACGTAGGACCCTTGATATTGCGGAATTTCCACGGTTGGAAAGTGCAGCTGGAAGTGGTGACCGGTTGGGTGGCTTTTGCTGGTGCTCGATCTGCACAGTGTTCCGGCTGCTTCGCCGCCGAAACCGCCGTGTTCGGGTAAGAGGCTGGCGGTGTCGTCTACCCCACCTTTTTGCATGTTGATCAGAAAGGGACGGCTAAGAAGCTATCAGAAAGTTGAAGATTGAGCCTGAGTTCCCGATCCAAGGCCGACCTTGGCTTCAGTGGATACGTGTGGGTACATCCGGGTCCACGGCGCATGCGGCCGGGCAACCTGGTTCTTGGTTTGCTCCACACAGCCACTGGATTACGCCAGCGTAGACCCCAAGTCGCCAAAGATTTTGTGGGCAGCGCACTGCAGCAGCACTCTGCAGCGCCCCCGTGCGCACACAGTCAAAGACATGTTGCAGTAGCACGCTTGGGCGGCACCCAGCAGCACCAGCACGCAAGCTCTAAAGCGCACAAAGGCCACACATCTGGCAGCAGCGCCCTGCAGTGGCACCAGCACCCAAGCTCCAAAGCAGAGGCAATAGCTCTCGCTATCTGGGGTCGCAAAAAAATAGAACAATGGACCGATCAACCAAATGAAGTTCAACAACACGCCGTGTAGAGGAAGTGATGCATACTTATAATGTATCTATAGTTTGAATCAAGAAGACGCCTCCAATTGAATTGCTATGTCCCAATCCGCAAACAACAGCCCGGATGCGACCATTTCCGACCTGAACCCAGTAATGCAAGACTTCCTGCGACGAAGCTGTTGAGCCCCTGGATCCTCAGCTCCTGCATGTAGCTGCGAAGCGTCGTTCCCACAGCGTCGATCGCCACGGAACGATTCACCCCCAGCATCTTCCTGAGTCGTTCCCAGTTGGCGCAGTGAAGACTGATCTGGGAGTGAAGACTGACGAGTGATGAGAAAACAAGCGACTGATCATGTGCAAAACCTGCAAAACATGCTTGCCACATCTATTGAAGGATGAAGGCAGCTCAAACGTCATGAGATGTGAGGAGAAAAGGACAATTGCCTTTTTTAGGTGCTCCAATAGAACATGAGTGAACATGACATTGGATGAAATTGGAACATTTCAGTCATGTAACAATTGAACACTGTTCTTGAACAAATAGCCTTCTCTATGAGATTCTATGAGTCTACTCACTTGAACTTTCTCAATGTTCTTTTCGCCAGGCTTCAGGGGAATTTCTTGTGTGGAAATCCTCTGTATCACTGATGCCACTTGCGCTGGTCTTCTTTGGGCCAATGAACGGAGCAAGTGAGCAGGTGGATACGTCTCCCAGTCCACCAAAGGAATTCCCGAACGGGTCGGCTCGGGGGGCAAAGGCGGATGCTTCCGCAGGAAGGGCTCGAGCTGAATCAGCATGGCGGCCAACCTGGGCTGCTGAAAGGTTGGAACTCGCCAAGGGCGGCCGAATCAAAGGTTGAAAGGACGAACCTTCTGAGAGGTCTTGAGGGCAGAAACTGAAGGTCTTCCATTCTGAAACAAGCTGAACATGCTGCAAACACATTCTCCAAATCCACCTCTAGGGTGGCTAAACTCATGCATATAAATCACATTCAACCTTGCACCAAAATCTCAAAGATAGCAAGCAAAAACAACATAACTGTTCTGCTCTGCTACGTTTTGATAGGAGGGTATAATCGTCAAAACATGTTCCTACTCTTAAATCGTGATTCTCCAACTGCTGCACCGCCCCCTTCCACCTGAACCGTCGCACCCTCCTAAAAAAGGAATTGAAAGGAGAGCAAACACCCCCGACAAAAAAGAAACACATAACATAGGAAAAACAAAACACAGAAAAACAACACACACCCAAAAAAGACAACACCAAACGGACACGTCCGGGTTCCTGGCGCCGAAGCAACGTGGCCGAAGCTTGCTTTTCGATCAGGGGCTCCAGCTGCGAGCAAGCGACCTCCCCCCCCGCGACGGGTGGAACACACGCTCGTCGAGCCGGGTCGGACTGGGCGTGTCGACGGGGAAGGACTGGGCTCACAACGGCTCACTTGTTACATCTGTCTGATGGGATCTGCGGGGTCTCATTTGCATTATATATGGAGTATATGATTCATAGTTAAGGTGAGAGCATGCAGTTGTATCCATGTAAAGGCCTTGTTGCCGCAACAACATCCGCTGCTACTCAATGGTCTCCAATCGGTTTTCTGGTCAACCTTCGTAGAGTTTCTCCTTTCCATCTGCCCACGCATGCGGATCAACACATGGCAAATCTTTATAGGTTTCCGCTCTCCGCTATATCCCCATAAAGATCATAAAGTGCAGATTTACATGACATGACAAGAGCGATTGAGTGTTCTATTATTAATATTTAGTGCAAAACAGGTTTCTCCTTCAATGACCCTCTATTCACTCTATTGCGAAGACCCATGGTTTCCTATCCGTCCGTCGGCTTGACGTCCGCCGAGCTCGTGCGGAACAACCGAGCTCGGGCGTCGGTTGAGGTCCTCACAGATCCTCTGCAGAGTCGTTGGATTCTGCGACTTGGGAAAATGTGTTGTTTTTTATTTCCGGAAGGGGATTCACCAAGTGTTCACCTTCTCTATAGGATTTTTTCCACTTACCATAGAGAACATCAAGAGTTCACCTTATAAGCAAAACTAAGCTGTGGATGTTTCAGGATGGCTTTTGAGGATCCTGATGGCATGAGAACCTCTAGTCTCCCGCTCTTCCAGCGGATTCCGTCGTTTTCTGTTTCTCTCTTCACAGATGCACGTCGCATGGTACCCATCCGCCCTGCCCCCTCTATACGCAGAATGAAACCAATTTGGTCTATGTTCCGCCCGTTCTCCCTTTGACTGTGCCGGAGCGCGGACCAACAACCCCCCCTTATCCTGGGTGCCTCCGGCAGCTCCTCATTGATGAACTGCTCTAAGGCTGGATGTAGCTGAGTCAAAGCCTCATTCAAAGGTGAAGAGCCCGTGAAGCGTAGCATGCCTTGGCCCATCGTCTCATGAAAGGCTGTGTCAAAAAAGGACTCAAGAGTTGGTGGAGGTCACGTAGCCTTGGCTCCGCATCAGTCATGTGACTTCAGCCACGTACATGTTTCTTGCACCTGTCAGGTCATATTACGGCATCTGATGGCACCTTTTCTTTAACCAACTGACCACTTGGTTTCACCAAAAGCACCGGTTTCAGCGGAATTTGTGTTCCTGCCCTTGCGAAGAGCCCACAGGACTTCCAGCCCCCCCCATCCCTCATCCATCCAGCTCCAGCCAGCTCCGACTTTCCCGAACTACCCCCCCCGAAAAAAGAAGAGACCGGCCGGCTTGCTCTGAATCCCTCGATCTATATGGTTGGTGGTGATTCTGGTTGGGGGGTGATGTTCTGCCAGTCCAATGCCCTGGGATGCAAACGAGCGGCTCATGATGATAGAGATTTTGCACCTGGTCACTTTCACCTTCCCCAAGGGCACCAAGAGGCCAGAACTGCCAGGTGCTTCGACCGGTTGCACCAGGAAGGCCAGGTCTGCTGTGGCGTTGTCAATGGCAAAGCCAATGGCTAAGGAGCCCCCACTTAACAGTAAGGTGCATTCCAAATGTGCTGAGATGTGCAGGGAGAAGGCAGGCGTCAAATCCTAGGAGTAGACTTTTTTGGAAAATGCTGAAAAGAATCAACACCTGCTTCAACATCTTCAACCCACCTGAACAAATAGTCAATTGGGACAACCACGTACAACCACCCCGCCGAAAAGGATGGACCTTGACACCACACGGACCAGCTGCTAGCTGAACCAAAACAAGCTGGTTTCTATCACTGCCAGGGTTCTGTCACTGTCAAGTCCTGGGCATCAAGACTGTTGATGCGAATCTGGCTGCAATTGCCTGATTTCTCAGGGTCGAGGATGGAGCTGGGATGGATTTTGGGTTGGAGCTGGGGATGTTGGGGCACCCAACAAGGGCGTTGTGTGTATTGAATTGCAACGGTTTCAAAGTGGGTGACACAAACGCCTACGTTGGGGTCCATATATGTTAAGCCACTTTTGGAGGATTGATTGCGCAATCTACTCCATCCAGTATACTTGAATAGGGACCAGATTTCTCCTCAGGATCCCGGGAGGCTCTTTTTGTCCAGCAGAAAAACAACTCTTTGCACGTCCAACGAATGCGCCTCCATCTAGTTGCAAGGGATTCCCCAAGGGCCCAGTCGGCTTCGGCACCTGAATTGTCACATGCTTAAGCCACTGGTAGAAAGGCACCCCGCTGGCGAAGTCCTCTGCATCCTCCGAGTAAATGTTGATTTGAGGTGAAACACCTGGGTGTCCAAGCATTAGACGGAGTATACAGTGGAAGGGAAGGTCAATATACTCACTGAACAGGGTCTAACCTTCGATGTCAAATCAAACCCCAAGAAATTGATGGTGGGGGTTCTGTAGTATTCGCTAGGACATGGGTTAGTTATTGGTCTTTCTGGAAAGACCTACAGGTTTGCTCCTCCTGGCAGGAATTATATAGCAAACCATAGTTCCATGTTGCATCAGCCTTCGAGTTGTTGAACCTCATGGGACAAGAGTACTGAAGAAGGAACATAACCGTGCAAACAAATTACCTTGGTTCCTTGGCTATACATAGTATGTGACACAGGCTCTTATTCAATGTTCATTTAAGCCCCGGTCGAGTCTATATAGCTGATGACATCTACGTTTGCAGACTCAAATTGTGAACTCTTTCCATCCACAACCGGTACCAAACAGGTACCCTGAAGTTCCCTTTGGCACAACGAAACTGCCACGGCGGGGGTGTCTCATCAGGACTTCCAACCCTTGGTTTGACTGGTTGCTAAGGTGCCTGGAGTCTGCGCAGCACAAATCCAGGCCAGCCAAAGCAAGCTGAGCTGTAGCACATGGCGTGCATCTAACATGGCTCAACACGAAGCATGAATGCGTTAAATGTGACAAACTCTGTTTCTGGAGGCAGGAAAACACACACAATATCACAACTGATTTCTCCGTACAATCTGTTCTTTTCCTGTAATATCAATCGCACACCAGTGCAATGTGATCGAAAGGCAAAACCATGACCAACTAAATGGTTGCGCGTGATCTGAAAGGTTTCTTAGATATTCCGATATTCCCGGTTTTGTTCATGCTGAACAACTAGGATGTCAACCACTTTAGCTTCAACCTGGGCTGCGAAGACTTCACAGTTGTTTTTGACAAGGCATCGTTTTGGGCTCGAACCCGGAACATTAATGTTGTAGTCAAACAAACAAATGCCGTAACAAGATGCAACAAGGGCATATGCACTGGACTCTGCAGTTAAACACGCCCTTATAGTTTCTACAGACTGGTTTCAGTCACGGGCCTCGTGCTACTTCAGAGGGGTACATGGGCCCAAAACACCCTCAACGGTGCAAACCTTGCTAGGCTCTGGGCACACCAGCCCGAAACTCCACGACTCTGCTGCACTTTCTCCGCGACTCAGCCGTTGATCCTTCCAGCCGTTCTTTCCGGGTCCTGCTCAAGTGAGGTGAAAAATCACCACCTTCTGTATATATTCATGTATGACCGTATGAAAACTCATCAGTAGAAAAAACATTTCGAGGGATGTGCCGTCTCTGAAACCACTCCGTCCAAGATCATACACTCTTATGCGGTGTGACTGGGGATGTTTCATGCTCGTTCCTTGCCCAGTATCTTAATCCCACATTAGATCAGACATGTAGACTTTTGATCATAATCAAAATGAAATCACCCATCTGGATTGCAATCCATCTGGATTGTAACAACTCTTCACGCTGGCGGGCTTTATTAATCCAAAACCCAATGTACATTAATGAACGACCATTGCAACTATCCCACAAGTGCGAATGGCCCTGATAGTTTCGGCGCGCGAGTGTCCCCCAACCACGATTCGGAAGCGGTGGTTGATTCTGCAAGCGCCTTTGATCGCATGTGCATGTTGTGAGTGACCAGGAAGTTGGCCCCCGCTAATTGCAACATGGGTAGAACTTAGCATGGGTGGACTGCAAGGATGATAATTGCAAATTCTGTGATGAACCCGTGGAACCATTCCCTAAACTCAGATCAAACTAATGGTGCTGGCTTTGGGGAAGTTTTCGGATGTTTTTGTGTTTTGGACAGACACATATTGTAAATATAAGCAATATATAAATCCTACACATTATATGTTAACAGTATCGCGTCTAAATTTTGAGTCACAAAAACATTATATAAAAAACGTGTCCTAAAAACTGATCCCAAGGACAAACATCGCAATTCCAAGCTGCAGTCTCTCTTTGCTAGCTGTCTGAACATGATTTTGTGCTAGAACCTGTACCAAGAGAAGACACCTGGGCTCGGAAACATCGGGAATTCAATGACACCGCTGCTGCGCCCGTTGAAATCTAGCGTGCTTCTTGGCTCTATATTTTTGTTTGGCGGCCATAAGCAGCAGGATCTCTCTTGGGGTGGGCATCCGGAGGGTCCTCTTCCCAGTCTCGGACTCCTTGGCAGCACGCTTTCCTCCACGCTTCCGGGCTGTCTTCTGATGTAAGGGTTTCGATGGTGGATTCGCGTGCGTTGAAGACTATCAGCAAAGATCCTGTCAAACAAGAAAGGTGGGTCCCCCGATAAGGCTTTTCGCAATCCATTTTGGTCCAGCCGCGTCTTTGCGAGTCTGCTCTTTTTCTGCCGAGCATCTACATGGTAAATTGATGTTTCCTTGAGATTTTTTGCCGCAAACCGGACCAGCTGAAAATTGTCAATATTAAAATATTGTCTTCCCGTGTTGCTCTGCCAGGAGTCTGTTTTGCTTTCGGGCTGTTGTTGGAAGACTCTAGCTGGGTTCTCTGCGCTCCGAAAATGGAGCCCCGTGTCGGACCAAAGTTGCAAGGTGCCAGTGTGGTGGGAAGGTTCAATTCAATGAAGCCCTTTTGAAAAGGAAATGTATCTGGCCTCACATACTTGTGTTGGCTGTGCTACATAGGCCCTGTCTCAATTTAGAGACATGGGTATAGCTTGAGTTTCTGTCGTCAGTCGTAAACCAATCCACGCGGCAATGTAGAACTCTGGGTGTCCAACAAGGATTCGACGAAATTCGCCTTGCGCTAGCCATTGGTAGGACCGGAATTTAAATCCTATAGGAGGCTCTTGCACTTCGGAGTACAAAGTCCACCCGTCAGCCAAAGACAGCGCTTGTCTTCCAAACGGTGACTTTCATTGTGAGTGTGGATGTAGTGAAGTATGCCCAGAGCAACTTCCGCCCAATCTCCCTCGCTGGAATCCTCGTGCGCTTTGACCTCGTCCCTTTGTGTGAAATGTATATTGCAATGTGTGCACACATCAGTTCGCTGGGCTCCCACGCGGCACTCTCCGAAATATTGGCGGAACAACTTTCTCCGGGACACTCACGGCTCGCTGCACAACATGCTGCAGCGCTGCAAGTAGAGACATACTTGTATCATAGTCTCGTCCACTAGCTTGCTGTCCTCGCCTTGGAAAGCCTGTCTCATGCTGCTGCACTGCAAACACACGGCTGCCAGGTTTTCAGTCTCTTACCACGTCACGAGCCAACCGTAGGCAGCGAAACCTCTGCACTGTTTGCGAGCCCTGTATCCAATGTAATATCCTCTGGCAATCAAATGTTCTTGCGCAATGGACCCTATTTTTCGATGCGGCTTTGTCTAGCTCTTGTAAAGTTAAGTCAATGCGTCAACCCCACGACCAAGCACGTTGTCACAAAGCTCTCCCAAGCTTGATGTCCTTCTATCATTCCTTGCAACTTCTCAATAAGCTCTCTCTTCCGACCGCTTCCAGGTGGCGCTATGGTTGCCGACGTGACGTTGGGGAGTCGCTTGCACATTCTTCTGCGGCGTTGCAACACTCTGCACATCTATGTTCTTCGGCTTGCTTCCACAAACACTGTTCGGATATCCCATGCCTGTCTCATCAACAAACTGTTTAGCTTGCACCAGGCTGTAGAAGTTGCGGGCCTTGTCACTTGCCTCCCACCTGTAAACCTTGTAGGTTCCAATGTCGTAGTTCTTACTCGTTCTCCAAATCACTTCCAGAAAAACTGTTTCTGAAGACTTTTGAAGTATACAAACACATATCTTTAAACTGAAATGTTCTGCAACATCATGCTGCCATCATGGGTACAAAATGGTACAAATACATAATATATATATATACACATATAGTACTGCATATAGTGTTTATAGAATAAGCATGAATAAGCATGTGGTTTAGACTGTCGTTTAGATGTCGTTCAGTATGTCGTCTCGCTAAATACATACTTATATACTTTCCAACTCAGTTAGCCAACAAAAATAGTTGCGGTGGTGCAGCTATATAATTCTGACCCCTGGGATCGCCCACTACATATGCACATCTTGCGGTGTCTTATTTGTGGCACTCAGTCGGGTATTTCACATCAACTGCCAACAACGGATCATTGTCAGTACTCTGGCTAATTTCCAAAAAAATTGCTCAAGCCCATTCCTATAACTTCCGTGCAGTGTTCCCAAACCGCACCAGGTGCAAAGCTGCACTTGTTTCACCAGTTTCAAGACGCCATGACCATTCCAACACTAAACATGTCGACAAAAAACATCCTGCCAAGCTCAGTCTCTCTATATAGTCCAGTTCCGAAGCTCTGCACGCGCGCAGAAAGGAGACACTCTTTCTCGCCCCCAAATGGACTTTTTGGATCAATGTCCCTTCACCGAACCCATAGGGGATCGGAACGCCGGCAGTTGTGTCTCCTTATTTTGATACACACCCGACCCGTGTCTCTGTGTGTGTCTAAACATGTCAAAACCTGTTCCAAAGAATACCTGGGATTGAACCTGAAATATGGATGTGGGATGTCCTTTCGCTGCCCAAGCTGGAGAACTGCAACGTGGCGAGGATCACAATCGCGGCCACTAAGACCTGATTTTCAGGACATCCCCCCATTGACCGTCAACACCATGACGCCAAACCCATATGAAAATTGGGTGACCAGAAGGCATTAGGGTCTATCGACATTCCTTGTTTTCAAGCCGCACAACACGTGTTCATACATTTTGCTAGGGCCAAAATGGATATATTATATATAATATATATATACTTAGGCCAGAAATCTGTTCAAGCTCTACAAAAAAAGGTACCAAAGAAAAACAAGAACGCCTTTTGGAGGTGTGTGCTGGAACAACCCCTTACAGTATCCGAAGATATCCGAAGTATAACCACAAAGTGATTTCACGCAACAACTGGCTCCAATCATCTCAACATCCATTGGAATAAGAGTTTTGCAACACTCAAACATGTTTTTCCAATGGTTTTTGTATGTTTTTGTCCAGATGCTGTCGACATCGTTTGATCTTGACCTTGCTGTTGATCAGGCCACTGATGCTGTGGACGGGCCGGACAGGCCTCCTCTTTGAGGGAAGGTGAGTTTGAATTGTTGATGTGATTGGAGCCTCAACAACTGCATCAGTCCAGTGGACGGAAGCATGATGCCTTGTGTCCGTTATGAACATAACAGCTGTTTAATTACTTTGTTGTGTGATGTGTGCGTGTGCTGAAGGACAGCCTGTGTCCATAAAAGCCTCTCTCATATTGCATGTCTCTTTTGTTCAATCTGGTACAGGTGGTGACATATGTCAACAAAGACCTCTGACAAAACCTGCAATCCTCAAACTGGTGCCGCTTCATGTGCCGTCTTCAGCGCGCGCTTGTGACTTGTGCCGTCTTCAGCGCGCCACTTGGCCAGCGGTTTAGAGGATGTGCACCGGGTGCATGCGGCGAACGAACAGCTGCACAAAACCAAGCTTTCCAAAACCGCCCTGCAAACTCTCTGAACAGTTCAGTTCCATCGCTCCCGGGAAAAGGACAGCGCCACGAAATGTGGATGTGCAAGGCTGTTAGGCTTAGGATCTTCTCGGTATCTGTTTGGTTTGAACAGAGGAAGAACCCTGCAGTATCGAAATGAAAAAAGACGCTGGAACGATGCCCAAACAGGAGCCGCAACCAACAAAACGACGCGTGGAACTGAATCCACATCTGGCTCAAATGCGGTGGATCACGCAAGAATAACAAACTGCACTCATGAGTGTTGGACTAGAAACATGCCAAGTGTTCAAAGAGCATACGGGAAACCAAATGTAGTAATGTAGACGGTTTTACATCGCCATATGGAAGATTCACTAAGAAAGAGTCAATACAATTCGGAATATGCGAGTAGAACCAGACTAGAGTGCCACCTTGTTTGCAGCGGAAACTCACATCCCTTCATCCAACACTTCCCCGGTCCCGCGTGTACACCCTGCCGACTGCGGCCTTCCGCAAACGAGTCACCTGTTGCAAGTTGCAGGAGCAATAGCCTTTCCAAATGTTGATGCCAAACAACACCTTGGACACAGCGAAGGCACCGTGTTGTTTAGCACCGCTTTGGTGCAAAAAAATCCCCCAAAAGAGCCGCCCGCTTAGCGAAGGGGGACGGCCCCCCAAAGAGACGCCCACGCCGGCGCCGCGCCCAACCCCCGCCCCCCTCGCATCCGCTTTAGCTTCACCGCACGGCGGGGAAGCGGGCCCCTCACGGGTAGGAGTCTGAGGCTGCGCACGACCATGGTGATACACTTGGCCACATATTTCGAGACCGAGGACAGCTGCACCACCTGAGTTCTCCGTTTGTAGTAAGGCCGGGAGCCAGGTTTCGTAGCGTCAATGCTCCGTTCGTCCACCAGTTGGTAGAGGAAAATAGTCGAAACCAAGGGACCATGTTCATCCATTTTCCACCTCCATGTTAGTGAGTCAGTGTGTTTGTTGCGGAGCCCTCTTTCAAAAGTTTGTTGGTTGGCCCTGCGACGAGCACACAAGTTCATCCGTGTGACGACCATGTCATCACACATATCTCCATGAAGTCTGGCTGAACTATTATATTTCATGGGTCGTTGGGTCGTAATTCGCTATTTCAAAATGGAAATAAGGATTAGGTCGTTGAAATACCAAAATATTGGGTGAGGTCGGGGTTGGTGCGCGCGATGTGTGCTACTACTGGGGCCCAAGCCGCTAGGAAACCAGAAAGGATAGGCGCTTTAGCTACAGCCATTGGTGCCCCTAGTGTTAGGGGCCCAGAAACGACCTATCTGACTCAGATAGGCTTGTTTTGCTACCACTTGTGCCCAAACCG